TGATGTTTGTTGTGAATGACATATACTCATAGTTGAACGAGATAATTAGTCCAAGTTTGTTGTTTATTGAACATTCAGTAATTACACCAGCTGTGATGCGCCACAGCAAAGGTAAACGAAGGTAAAATAACCTGAACAGGCGACCAACTCTAAACCACTCGCACCTTTTCGCGAACCTCCTTCTCTCTTCGTCATTTAAGCACACCCGTTGCCGTGGCAACCGCCTGCGCTCCCAAGCCCAGCAGAGATTGCTTTAAAAACATAACATTAAGTCAATTACGATAGCAGGTTTTCAGGCTTGATATTTATTTTGCGATTATTAATAAGCGCTCCCCTGAATGAACCACCACAGCAGTGGTTGATTAGTTAATTTTAAACTCCTGCTCTGCTAGTTATTTTGATAATGGAAGTGAAACGCACAGAATTGCTTGAGACAATAATTAATGAGATAGTTATTTTTGTTGCGTCATTAATTTGAACATGTTTTGTTGACTCTTTGTTGTTGTTAAAGTTATGAACGTTTTGATAAGGAGTCAGAGGAGGACGTGCTGGTCTCAGCGACCTGGCGGCATTCAGTTTGTCATCTACCGCCGATATCGACTCAAAACCTTCCGCGGTCGATGTGTTGCACCGCTGCTCTAGTAAAGCATGAACAGTTAAGAAACAATGTGAAATGGGGAAAAAGCTATTTATTAACTGGTTAAGTTGTGGTTTAGATTGTTCTTGAAAAACTAATCAAGTTATTGATTGACTGATTGATTTTTTTTTTTATAGCATACAGCCGCTCCTCTCTTGCAGGTACTGTGTACCCCCACTAAATCTTTTAGGGGTACGCAGTACCCGACTGTACCCACCTACTTTCACCCCTGGTCCTGTGCTTTCCTTTGTTAGCCCCCAAATTCTCTCCACACACACACACACACACACACACACACACACACACACACACACCACCGCCACCTACCCCTCTTTTATCCTGCTCACTTTAGGGCTGCAGTGCAGTGGCTGCTCAGCTCAGAGTGGTAACGGTCAACATTTTCTGCAGTTTGAAATTAAATCTCCTCCCACTCATCCTCCCACTATTCCACCTCCTCCTCCTCCAAACTTTACTTTAATTTCCCTCCTTCTTCTGCACTCATGAAATCACTTCAAGACAGACTCCTTCCTACATAGCCAATCACTGAGCTTTGAAGGATTTATGGCTCCCACTCCCAAAGCGCCATAAATTCTGCATTATAACATGCATGTGTTTGTGACTGTGCTTGCAGCTCATTTGTTGAAATAACTAAACAAAAATGGGACTCCTCTATTATTCTTTCACCATAAAAACCATTTAATTCCTTGAACAAAGTGTACCCGTGTATTTTTGTCGGGCCTTATGACTTAAGTAAAAACTCAACAAAGGATCTTTTGAGATCCAGTGCTAATTATTAATTTGCAACAAAGAAATGCTTGTCCTATAACTGGCTGTCACATCTTGCAAGTTGCTGTTTTATAACTTCCTGTTCGAAGCTCTACTTAAGCTGTTACAAATAATGCATTTCTTGTGGGCTTGGAGAGTTGGGATTCTTGAATAAAATGAAAGCCAAATGAAGCTACTACATTTGGAAATTTACAATTTAACACCAGAAGAGACAATGTTGATTACTTTCATTTGCTTCTGAGGGTAGACCAACCAATTATTAGGTTTAGTGGGTAATCAAACAGAACCTTTTATGTTTGGATTTCTTTTTTCCCTTAATAACAAACACCTTAATTTACTTGTGTTGTCTTTGACTAAAATTTAAATTGGTTAGATTTTCTGAAAAACTGAAATGTGACAAACAACAACAACAACAAAAATACAAAAAAATAAAAATATTAGGAAGAGAGCGAACACTTTTTTAAACCACTGTATCTTATCAATCCAAAATTCTCTTTTTAAAAAGAAAATACTTTTCAGTTCAAATGTGAGCTCCCCTCACGACAATGCTGTGTTCGGCAAATCCCACGGATTCAACAAAGAGATGCTATCAAAATGATCTGCTAAAATAAATAAATAAATAAATACAAGAACTTTACAGTTATTAATTAATTTTTAATGAAATTATAAATTCTTATATTTTGTTCATGGTGAAGATTCATCATTACCTCAAACAAAAATCAGTCAATTTTCTCTTTATCAGCTCAAATTTGTAATGGCAAGACAAAATATGAAAAGAAAAAAAATGGGAGTCAGATTAAGATTAAGAACAGGGAAAAAAAATTGGATTTCGGTTGTATTTGCCTGCAGTGTGATCATAGTCTAGTCTTACTAAAAACGTGTGCTTCGTGTCTTGGTTGGCAGATTTGCCTTTTGTGATGTCTTGTTTATTTCCTGAGATGCCAATGTAGTCTTGTGAAGAAAAAAAAGCTGCCCGGTTACTTGTATTTTTTCTTTACATCTAAATGTTTCAGATCATGGAACACATTTTAATGCCAGACAAAGACAACCCAAGTAAGTAGAAAATGCACTTTTGAAATTGTTTCATTTACTAAAGTAAAAAATCTGTGATTTTTACCTTGGAACTATCCCACTTTTCCCAATTTCTTTCTTATTGTTCAATTATTAACAATTACTTGATTTTGTGCAACTATGCAGTGCTTTAAAGTGCTCAACCAGGAGGCTTTTTCATGACCTCCTGGTTGAGTTGTTGATAATAGTGCTTGTTGTAATATGTTGGAGTCCCAAGCCATAACAAAAAGACTTTAAACACTTTCTAGACTATTTTAAATCAATTCATTTCTCATGTAGTTCTAATTTTCTTTAGATCAGGACACAATGTGTTGTTTTTGAGATCTTCTCCTGATTTTTATTTCAAGCTATATGATTACTGTTTACTGAACAGTAATCATAGCAAAAGTAGCAAACAAGAAAGTCACAAAATGAAAAATAAATCTGTCTTTTTTCTAAATTAAATAACAAATCAGTTGTGACTTATCACCATTTGACAGAGACAAAGAACAATTATTCAAAAAAAAATACTTACACAGCAGAAATGGTTAACTAATTGTCTAATGTTTTACTGTGGGGATCTGAGTGCTGCTGTACATACTTGACTGGAATAGGCACATTGGCGCTTTTTCTCTTGAGGATTTTCAGCTGAGCTCATCTTAAATCACAGCCAGGAGCCACTTGCCCACTTACACACCCCACTGTTTGGGCAGCATCTTGATAAAGGGCTCATTTAAAAGAAACTGGGGAACTGGGAGGAAATGTGATGACGGGGGGAAGGCTGGGGCCAAAAAAAGGGTCATGGGCATCAGGGTTGGTATTAAATTACATTACCGTTTCCCTAAGAATGTAACACAGAGCTCTTTTGGTTCTGTTTACTACTCTCCGTTTGCTGTTGGTTTCTTACTCCAAAAGGGTGGGTACTTTCTTTTACAACTCATTTAGCATACCTTCACCAGTGGTTCCAGATGTGTAATTTATAGGGAGCATGAGAAGTGCAAGCACAATAGTGAACAAAAGCGAAGCAGAAATCCTCTGGTTTCAGGGGACTGCTTTCAGGGGTCTGTGGAAGTGTGAAGGCTTTAAGCGGATCCTGTGGTGTCCCAACAAATGCCACTGGTGATTGATGGCCTCACTGAAGGACTGGGGGGCTTTGGGCTACTGAAATGGATTAATACTATTAGCATAACAGTGGATTCCACCTTTGTTTCGATTATGATATTCTACGCTATGGTCTGTCTCCATAAGCCTATTAGGGAGCTGAATGTCACAGCTTATTGTCTGCTATCACCTTTCATTGTGAGGTGGATTACAGCTTACATTTAAGCAGACATCATGACCCGGTGTGTTGAAGGGAAGAAACAAGAAGAACTGCTCAGCAAAACATTTGGTGCTACCTATTTTTGGATAATCGAAGTACTCAAGTTACACAATTTATGCAAACCTAAAAAATGAAAGTAATTCAAAGAATGCAAACATGTTTTAGACAGAGAACACCCAAGGAAGAACTTATTATCTTCTTTCCCTCCTTTTGCGTTGGGGTGGGGGCACAGAGGACGGGTTAAAGTAACCAGTGGAATAAGGGGGTGTAGGGCTGGGCCTTTGTAAGGAAGGAAAGAGGGGGTGGCCATATAATAAGTGACAGAACACAAGTGGTGCTTTATCCAGCCTGTCCCACTCTGGGTAAGAGGAAACCCTAAACTACTCCGACTCAACCAGCTTGGCCCTTTTTTTCGTACTCTTTCTTCCCTCTCTTTTCTCTCACTCCCGCGTGAGTGCACTCAGGACGAGAATGGCAGCATCATCTGGACAGAGAACAAATGGGCCCTCCAAAATGTTGGCTTTCGCTTTGCTTCTCATCGGCCAACTTTTGAGCGGTAGGTAAAAATACCCGGTGCCAAGACAGTCATTTCTTGGGGATTAAATAACCATCCTTTGGGATAGGGAGCCCCAGGACGGGTGGGGGTGGAGTGGAGTGGTGTTTGTTTATATGGTCAGCTGAATACAGGTTTTAACCCTACAACTATCTCTCTATCTGGAATCCAAGCGTACATCAGCAACTCATTGAAAAATGATTTTGTGTCTGGAAGGCACTTTTGTTTAAGTATGCTGAAAGAAAAACTTACTTCATAGAGCAAACCTTAATTTTTAAAGAAATGTTTTGATATAGCGATGTTTTTATAAATGTGTGACGTTTTTATACGTTTCTTTTTCTTAATTTTGTCAATTCTTACAATGTAATTTACTTTCTTGCTTTAAATATTTATAAATCTTCACTGCCTCTTTGCTGTTTTTCACTCAACATATTTTTGCAAACTTCAAAAAAGTTTAAGAAATGTGCATTTATATTTAGCTGGATGTAATATGAGGCTGGTCGATGTATGCGTGAGAGAAGGGCGTGGTGCTTGGTTGTTAACATGCATCTCGTATGTGGCTGAGTTGAAGCAGAAGGAGATTTAGCAACAGAAAAGGTTTTAAATTGTGTGTACAAATAACTTAAGCAAACAAACAAGTTGTTTACTTATTACATTACCAGAGTGAGAGTACTTATCTAAAATATTGGATCTTATGTATATTTTTTATAAAGTTAAACCAAATAAACATTAATTAAGATCCTGAGATTAGCAAAAAACAAACAAACACCTGAGACAGAATCAAGCACAACTAAAAACATTAAAAATGGCAATACTTATTTATTTATTCATTTTTCCGATGCCTGACTTAAACTTTTAGGTAGAGTAAAATCTGAATGTCATTACATGAGGCCACAACTCTACTCCTTAAATTGCCTCCAGTGCCAGAAGATAAAAAAAGATTTGCCACATAATGGATAAAACCCCCTGCCTATTACAAAACGTTTAAGATGTCCACAAAGTCATGACAAAGAAATGAATATAGGAAAAGAAAAATAGTGCTGGGAATGAGGTGCAATCACAATACAGTCTACAGCACTCTGTTGTGGCTGGAAATGAAAACACATTGGTCTCCCTAATTCAATCCTCCTGTCTTTTTCATGGTGGGTAAGCTACAATAATGAGATCATCAACCAAGAGAGGCGGCTGTGTCTGATTTATATAACAAAGCGGCACGGATATAATTTCAACCTAAAGATTCATAATCAGAGGCAGAGAAACTTTTATGATGCTGCTGATTAAAAATACAAAAGAGAAAATCTTTATGATCATCACACTCAAAGCAACTCCAGCAATTTGACACACCCAAATCAAATGTGTGTGAGAAATGTTGAACAACAAAGAAGAGAACATGAGATGTTAGGGTAAGGTATCAGTTTCTTTTAACTGTACACGACAGAGGTTTTTCCCTCAATAGAGATGAGAGATTTATGTTCTCTACGGAGGGCTTTACTGTACAACTTTATTGGGATAAAACCAGAGATACACAGAAGCTGCCCTCAAAACACTCAATAACTCTAAGAATGCATCCTGAGCTTAATTCTCCTCATTTTTTTTTACATTAGGAACCTTGCAGCTAAAACTAATACCTTACTGTGCTAAACTTAACAGCTTTGCAGCCATGCATATTTTTCCATTTAAAAAAACAAAAATATGTATGTCACACTTAGATATGAAATCCAAGAATAGTTAATTGGTTAAGAATGGAATGATAGTTCTAGGTAGCCGTTTTAACACGTGAGGTTTTATGTACGTCCTAAAATATAACATACTTACAGCTTGTCACTAGCTTCCAACTAATAAGTTCAACCTGCACAAACCTTTTAAGAAACAATCTAGCAAAACTCTTGAGTTTACACTTGCATTTACGCCAAGTCCTGGTCACTGCTGATTGGCTTTTTTTCTACTTTTGCAGCTTTTGGTCATTCTGTACTTAAAAAAATTAATTTTATGTAATCTCCTATAATCTACTGATCACGTACTGCAACAAAATTGATTATAAATCTCTAATATCTGCTGGCAGAATGTCTCTCAGCGATCCTTTGGTTTGAGCGGGGGTCAAGTGGCTCAAATGAAAATGCAACAGAACCACAATCAGTGGAAATGAGAGAGATTTGAACATTTTTGTTATGCAGCTCATGAAAATACTTAACTAGTAAGAAAAATGCACTGTAATTATATACTTGCATGTACCGTAGGGTATAAAATGGTTTGTTTACAAAAGCAACATGCAAGAGGATGAAATCATGGGTATGAAATGAAGGCATAAAACAGTAAAGACTTGAAAACACATGGTTTTAAGAAAGCCACAAAGACATGCAGTACACTATCGCTGCCTTTGCAGGGCAGTCTGGTGGAAATACAAAACAATTTTGCATGTTGTACTTGACCAACAACCCAAAAGTTGTTGGTGAAGAAGCTTTACTCCATTTTGGAAGCTCAGTAGATCTCTTGTTAAGCTCCATTTTTGCTCAAGTAGCCAAAATATAAAGAATGCTGACCTTTCATTTTATGTATTCCCTCTTTCCTTTAAACGCTTTCAAATGTTTATCGCTTCTCTTACCAAGATTAAAATTTCAGACCGCAACAATGTCTGAAAGTTTTCACATGTTAAAATGTGTGAAAACATGGAATTTTAGCTTTATACTTTTTCAAAATTTACCTTAACTTACATTTGGCTGTACTGTCGGAAATATATATATTTATATATTTGCATATATGTAACCTTTTTTGTTCCTCAATCAGATGACAATTCAACCCCATAGGTTGAAATATGTGCGTTATAAAACAGAACTCAGATTGTGCTTTAAAACCAGTTGTTAAGGCGGCATTTTTTGCACTATGCAAAAAGAAGAATTAAATTAAAAGAGCTGGTCTGCAATGTGCTTACATTTACTTTGTAGTCACATTCACATATAGTGCATCTTTGAGCGGGAAAACTTTAGCATAAACACATGAGGACTGTACATAAACCAGCTTCTGCTCTGCCTACACTGTGAAGTGGTTTAAGGAGGTTCTGTAGTGAAGCAATGAACCCTGCCCAACCTCACTGCCAACCCCTGGGTATATAATTATGTAAATCATTGTTTTCATAGCACTCATTGAAGTAACAGATGTACCGAGGAATTACAGAAGCAATGTCAACATAGTGTTCATTCCATTGCACGAGGGAAAGAGCTCATAATATGCCAAGTCAAATTTCAGGGTCAAGTCAACCAGCAATGGCAACCACATATGTGGATGCAAACAGAAAAAACATCCAAACACCTAACGGGAAAAAAAAATAAAAATCATTCACACTAGTGAGCATTTGTCTTTTCAAAGTAAAAAAAAAAAAATCTCCTTATCAAATTAACTCAGTGTCTTTTTTCATTGTTTCATTTTTGAGAAATTTCCGGTGTATTTATTCAAGTATGAGTCAACAGATAAAGGAGTAAGAGATAATCTTTTTGAACCAGCAGCAAAAAGAAGCTGACAACTTAACTTGGTCTGCAAATTACATAAAAGGACGGAAAAGAGAAAGGACTCTGCCTGTATCAGATCGCAACAATCCATACTAAAAGCTTAGAACGGTAGTGATAGTCCCACCTATGTCAGCACAAGTAATTATTCTGTTTTACTCTCAGATTTTGAGACAGATTCATGTTGACTAAAATCCATTTTTTTTGCTGGACAAAATCAGTCTGGAGGCTCTGAGCAGTTGAAATCTGACTCTGGAACAAGATCCCCTCCCTATCTACCAGCACACACTCAAACCAGACGGGCCCATTTAAAGATAATGCACAAGGCAGTGAAACTTTAGCAGTCAATTGTAAGTGTGTATGTGTGTGTGTGTGTATTTGAGCATGTCAGGGGTGGGGGAGTGATATAAGCCCCTCCAATTGAAAGCAGATGCCATGTTTCCTGATTGTGGTTCTTTAGAAACAGGCATCACACTCTTGATAAGGAGCTGCAGTGGCCTCAGGGTTGGGTCGGGTGAATTCTGCACCTGGGCAGGGGCTCAGTGAAGTCAACCTTTCTGGCCTGATTGAAACCATAAGATGCAGTTGGCTTGAGAGAAGAATAGCCTTGGTGCTGCTATTAATCGCTGTGACAGGAATGACAGGGGAGGGGCTGCAGTTGGGGCGCAATGAGGGGGTCAAGATGGTGGGGTCAGCGGTCTGTTGTTTCAAAGTGGGTAGGGTTGCACAGCATGTTTAACCTTACGAGACCATTCTCCAATGTCGCATTCCTCTGCAAAAATTTACAAATATAGACTCTTTAAGACCGGTGAGGGTTTCAATGATAGAAATCTCACAAGGCAAGACACAACATGATATTGAGTTTGCAAGAAATAGACGAGGTTTTAATATTGTTTTCAAGAAAACTTTAAACTGTCAAATTTATGCCGCAAATTTGCTATTATTCTGCATTTGTATTGATTTTTGGTATAANCTAAGCNTTTCCCNTTCGCAGTGGCATGTAGTGGGAACCCTGGACATCTAGTCATCAGCTGTTGTACTAATCCTTTCTGTATCCTTTGGTATCTGAACAACTTTGCCATTTACTGTTCCTACTGGAAACTCAAAATACTTCTTAAAACTTTGTTACTAATTTGGTGGTACATTTTAGAATCATTATCCATTTGTCCCCAAGCGTTAACTTCCTGTCTGATGTCTTAAGACGCTGCTGTATTGTCCATGCCATATTCTTTTCTCATGATGTCATCCGTTATGTGAAGTGCACCAGTTCCTCTTGCAGAAAACCACCTGCATAACATGATATTGCACCAGTCTCATGCTTCACAGATGTTCCCAAAACCTAAAAGTGCATTTGTAATTTCATTTGAAAAAAGCCAAACAGAACAAATAAAAGCAGATCACAGTAGATTTTTAAATGCAGCTGTATTTTGGCTTTTATGTTGCTTTTGTAGTAAAGGCTTCTTCCTTGTTGTTACTCTGTGACATTTCTTTTGCAGCTTCAGA